CTCGGTGGTATTCACTCTCTGTTCTTTTCGTTGTTTGAGCGAATGAAGTGCCCCCTTCGCAGAGGCAGAAATCCCTCGTGGCTCTAACGAGAGTGCGTTCGGCGCGCTGTTTTAATCCCAATCCTCCACCCTATCGATTTCCCGTTAATTCCTCGGCGTGAAATTCGAATTCGCGTCGACGTCGACTACCCGCACAATCGTTTTCGTCAATTTGCAATCGCATCTCTTCCGGCAGGTTGCGTGCAATTTAGTCTGCACAACGATCGCAAAGTTATCAACAACGGCTGCCGGCAGCCGGCCACCGATCAGCCATGATCGTCGCTGTCGCGACGAGAGATTTTGACTTTACGGAGTAATCGTATCTAGTCCGTTCAGATTAATTGAGTTGAACTCGCGTCTGCGGCCCGATTCGTTCGTGCCTCTGGCGCGGAAAGGAATTTGCAACTTCGCCGGCGAAAGCCGTCTCGCTGCACGTAGATTCTTTCGAGTGCGAGAAGCCACGGACTGCTGGACACCGCGGCCGAAAGTTCACCAAATTCATAATCTATGATTTCGTCATTTTTTTTCCCCCCCAAAGTTCTCGCCGCGCGTGTTTCGACAATGTGGAACTTTATATTTACAGCGAACTTTCTTAGCGGCAAGTTCTTAGACTCCGTTCTTTCGTGAACTTTCTCTCTCTCTCTCTCTCTCTCTCGCTCTCTCTCTCTCTCCGACTCTCTCTCTATTTTAGCGATTGGCACGACGCACGTTGCACGTTGATCTCCACGAGCAGCGCGACGCGGAGGTGAATTTTTCAGCACGAGCGCGAGCACACGTTTTTCCCGGCCATTGTTTTTCAACCTTCCGTTATACGATGAATACGAAACTCATATTTTTTGCATTTGCGGAAATTTCGACGCTATTTCTCTCGAGTTAATTCGTTAGATGTGCAGGGGATCGGTGTAACGTGCTGGCTTCGCCGGCGGTGCGCGGATGTTCGTGACAATATTCACACGGAGCGCGATAACAATTGGAGTAAACATTGAATAAACAATCGCCCGTAACGTGCACGATTGTCGAGGTCACCGGGATAATACCCCTGTTTGCGCGCGTTATGTCACGTTCTGCCTTCTCGATACTTGGGATAGGTGAATAACGTTGTGTCGCGCGCGCGCGATAACTTCGCGCGACCTTCGCCGAACGGCGACGACACTCTCTTTTACGCCCGAGGAGTTTTCTCACGGATGAGATAATCAGCGATACGTTTCTTTTAGCGTCACGGAAATCAGTTTGGTAACACATACATATCATCGCAAACGGCCGGCTATTCTCCGCGTCCACGCCCGAAGATGTTTCTCCATTTGTGCTGATTTCCGCGCCTCGGTCCCAGTCCATTTTTCCCATTATCTATCCGTCGCTTCCTCGCTCGGCCTCTTAGCGTACGCTCCTTGTGTACGCCCCTTTACCTTCACCTTTCGTCCTTGGTCCTCGTTTCCTCAACTTCGAAGGGTGAGATAGGGAGGGTACTTAATGGGGTACACACAGGTCCGGAAGGCTCGAGATATACATGCTCACTCGGCGGAGGTCAAAGGTTCACGAACCCCGAGACGGAGATGAAACTACCAGTTCCGATCTTTCCTCTCACCACCCAGTATCCCCTTTTTCTCCTTTCCCCTTTTCTCTTCTTTCCTTCCATCCTGGAAGGGACGTGGACACGATGTTTATCGCTTGCGCGTCTGCGGGAACATGCAAAGAGAGAGACTCGCTAATGCGTCTTGCATGAGTATTTTGCAACGTCGGTTAAACGTTCACAAAGAGTGCTCCGGCTTGTTGCGTATACCCCGTGTAACTTTAAATCTTTGTTTATCGTGATCACGGTTTAAGTAATGGATAATTTAGATAATGGATAAAAAGTGAGAACGAGGAGAAGGATCTTGTTTCTCTCGTTGCGTGTTTTCTTTCTTACGCACAACAGTTGACTTTTGAATATTGTATTTTTGTATCTAATATATTTTATTATCCTTTACACACACACACACACACACACACACACACACACACACACACATATTGTGCTGACTCGACCCGGCGAATAAGATTTTGCAGAAAACGATTTATTTATCCAAGAAATGTGTGGAACTCTGTCGTGCAACTCTGTTTCTATCTCTCTCGAACAGATTAAAAGCCACGATAAAGGGACCGCTGATAGTTTATACTCCTACCTGCAGATGCTACCTCGATATTTGTAAATCGTTTTTACTGCGAGCGTATTCTTTCTCCCAGAAACTCGTAAGCGCGTTGCAAAATATATTTATTGGAACAACATTGAAACTCGAGGGCGCTTATTCTACTCAATTTAACGTAAGCAAACAACAGGAAGGAAATTTTCATTACGTGAGCAACAATAAGATTATACAATGTATTTCATACTAAGTTTAAGAAATTGAAGTTATCTTCAAAAGTGCAATATCCCATCTACCAGGTTGTTTTCGGAAAGTAGTTTCTTCCTCGAGTTATCGATTTTCTTGTTTTGAAATCAGGAGAATAAAATCCTCAACAAAGTGGCATACAGAATGCAATATATTACAACATAGGCAACATATAATATAATAGAAAAGTCACACAAAATGCTGTTTAAGCACCGAGGCGACCTCTTTAATTGTAATAAATAAATATTCTAGTGAATATAGCGTTAATTGGCTCGTATTACGGGAAGGACGGTTGATATCTTTAATTAGCTTTCGTCTTGAAAAGTAGCCGGAAGACACTAAATCGCCACACTGAGAAAAATATCCGAAATATCCGATTGTTAATTTCGTTATCCGATCAAATGTCCGGTGTATTTAATCGGATAACAAAATTAACAATCGGATATTCCTGATATTTTTCTCCGTGCGTGTATATAATTTTTTGTTTCATCATTTTCTCAAGCGGTTAGGTTATGCACTAAATTGATGCAAGCTACAGTCTACTTTGAAAAGCGGATTTCTGCTAAAGTGCTCGAACATTAAAATCGGAGATGCAGCATTAAATTAGCACCTAACTGGGGTACTTAATTATAATTCCAATTTCGTTCCAATTTTGATCTTTTGTATCGGAAATACCGGCTTAATATACAGGGTGATTCAAAACAACCTTCCATTATTAAAAGTATAAAATCCTGATAAAATTCTAAAACAACTTTTCCTCTTGCAAAATTTTGGCAAAAGCTTAGATTTTAAATTATTAACGAAAATAGTAGACCTATTGCGGGTCGGTTACGGGAGGTAGACAGGTGCGGCGCAACTCACCGTCAGACGTGGGCGCTAACGCGGAGTACCCGCAGCAATCAGCTGATCACACTACACATGTTATACACTAGCTACGTTCCAATATTCATTGCCAGCATAAAAATCTGTATTTTGTATCTGTAACGTGGTGCGACGGATGTCTTGCTCGGTTGGGGTATAGCTCGGCGTATCTTCGAGCAGCAGCGGCGACCTGGCCGTGACAGGCTCCGAGTGTCAATAGCATGTCATAATATTCTTCGTTCGTGTATGCTGCCATATCGTCTTGACGTTAACGCTTCCAATAACCGCAGGATTATTGATTAACGCATCGATTGTTTCAACGCATTTATACGATCGTCGCGGGATGTCCATTGGTCCATCCCCCACCACGCGCGACCGCCGCTTCGCATTGGTCGTGCAATGAATACGAGTGAATGAGTGAGAAAGAGACAGAAAGACTCGGAGAGACCGAGAACGTGCTTGCATGTGTGTGCGCGTACAATCCTGGCTGTTTTCCAGAATTTTTGCCAGTTATAACAATCACCTAACGTCACAGAAAATACAGATTTTTATGCTGGCAATGAATATTGGAACGTAGCTAGTGTATAACATGTGTAGTGTGATCAGCTGATTGCTGCGGGTACTCCGCGTTAGCGCCCACGTCTGACGGTGAGTTGCGCCGCACCTGTCTACCTCCCGTACCCGACTCGCAATAGGTCTACTATTTTTGTTAATAATTTAAAATCTAAGCTTTTGCCAAAATTTTGCAAGGGGAAAAGTTGTTTTAGAATTTTATCAGGATTTTATACTTTTAATAATGGAAGGTTGTTTTGAATCACCCTGTATAGAGGTCGTGCCACGTGGCGGCAGCGAGGAAGCTTCTCATACGTTTTGCGCGATGCATTTCGCGCTCCGTTTCGGCTTTCTATCGGCTGGCCTGCCTCGTCTCCGCGTCGAGTGCACTTAGCACATTAACGCGGCATATAAAGCGTTATAACGTATTTCAAAGAACGCTTCGCACACGCGCACATACCGAGCAGCTGCGAATTGATATTAAATCTTCTTTTCAACCTTTTTTGTGTCTCGGCCGATGTACCGGTGACGTACAATGGAGCTTGATTAGCTCCCAATACTTAGACGCGCGTACGAATTTTCGCCGCTCTCTGTATCGCGTTCGATGCGACGTGGTGCGGTTCGTGCTCCGTTTACCAAGAAGCGTGCAATTTGCAATTCGCACAAATATCCCCATGGCTGGGCATCAGGGATCGCGATTAGCGTTCGGGACGCGTTCCCGAACGCGGCTATCCGTACGCGATCTCGGCGAATCCTCGAACTTCGAGGGGAGGCGAATGATGAAGATCAGAAGTATCCCTGCGCTTCTTCTCGACGTGGAAACTAATAATAACGACGGTTTGTAAAGAAAAATTGGCCGTTCAAACGCATCTCGTCGTAGAAGCATGTTCCTTTCCGAGAAAATATAAATTGATTGGAATTGACTGGAGAAGAAAAATTACCTGCTGTTTACTTTTTAATTATCTCATTATTATTATTATCTTTTTAATCATCTACATGTTGTGTACAATAACGGTAACATCTGATACAATCTGTATTATTATAATTTACATGTATACACATGTGCCTCGTTTTATAATTTAGAGCAATTAATCAGACGCCGCGACAGTCGCAAAATTGCATCGAGATTTACGATCGCTTGCGCGATATATAAATGCCGGTGTCTCTTTCGTGTTTCAGCTGATATATTCGACGAAGTGGACGATCAGATAAAAAAGTTCAGAGGCTTACAGGCGAACTGCGTAGGCGGTGGAAGAATCGAACACCATCCCGATGAGAAGACGATCAAAGTTTACGGATACTCGCAAGTGAGTCCCCGAATTAATGAAAATATCCTTCTCTTAAAATTAATTGACTAAAATATCCTTATGATATTGAAGATATAGCTTATTATCCGATAATTTCACGCGATTTTAATTTCATCAACGCGGCAACGTGTACGAAATAAGAGCCATCACAACGTTCCGCCACTGCAAAGTTCGCTCATTTAACTTTTGAAGATCTTGTTTCTCCGGACATTGCCTATGTATCTTTAATTCCTCCTTTTACTGTCGATTAATCGTTAATCGTTATTCGTATATCCGCAGGGGATGAAAACGCCCGCTGAGCAGACTTACATTTGCATGTTTTAAATAATGTTAAAACGTTGCTTGGATTTTCACCCCCTCGACATCCCGGTCGAATATGCATCGCGAATATACGTGGCGATTTAACGACGTGCGCATATTTTTACTCTGTAAATACGTCACAAGCTTCGCTCGCACGCGTCGTCATATGTCAGATTTTAGCACATTAAATTCGTCTGCTTGAGAATTTGCATCTCGCGCGGCGTCCGTAATTTAGTCGAGAGCTACGCACGTTTTATCAGCAAGATAGTATGCGATATTCTAGTTAACATGTAATTCTTGAGCATCCCGAGTTGAGTTTTGTTTTTCCTGCCCCGTCACAGCGAGCGAAAGTTGAAGAAAACTCGAAGTTCAAACTTCGAGCTGGGAAACGCGGCGAGAGGGTACACGGCGGTGCTTTATGAATTTCAGCTCGGGACGTTTCCAAAAGTACGATTCTGACAGCGCCCCGAGTTAAACCTGTTGAAACGTAACATTTCTAAAATAACCGGTGTATATTAACGTGGTTGAAGCGCGCGTTTTGCAGCCAGCGTGGTGGAGAACACATGTCGGAAGAGCGGGAAAGGGGGGAATCCCGTTTTATCCCTCGATTTCGCGCGGTGAAATTTCTTCGAACATTTAAATACCATAAACCTCGAGACCGGTCGATCGACCTCCACGTGTGTACCTCTGCGTGTAAAACTGCAACTGCAGTTATGTAAATTCGAAAATATTCGTCGGCAACTTTGGCGTTGAATTTTATGGAGCCGTACCGCCGTATTTACGATAACATTTCGCCCGAGTAGCGCAAATCAATTATCGCGCACATGCTGAAAAAATTCGAGTGCGCGCGAGCGTGAACTTTTATTCTCGCGCGCGCGCGACACCGTTTGATATTGCGACGTTTCATTTGCGAATTTTCCCGCCGACTTAACCACAACGAGATTATTATCCCCGGAGAGTGAATTTCACGAGACAAGTGGCAAATTAGCATGAAAGAACGAAATGAGAAAGAAAAAGTTTTCTTTTCGGTATTAAAATCCTTATTTACACATCTTTTACATATTAAATCGCAGAGAAAAAGATCTTTCAAGCTAATAAGACGGTTGCGAATAATTGTCTCCGCGGAGGGCCAATAATGTCGACCAAATATGGAAAGATAAAGAGGACACGAGAGAAATTGCAGGAAAATATGAAATATGAAACTCAGGCTAAGAGACTGCAGCGCGGCTAGTCGGAAGCAGAAGGCTCGTCCGCGGCGGTGCTTTCGATAAGTAAATTTTAAATCGCGCTCGTCTACATCGAAGTCGCGCGCCCCGTGAAAATACGAAGGCCGAGAGGAAGCCTGCAAGTGTTGGATATTCGCGCTATTTCAGAGGAAATTTTTCAGTAGCTGTGCGAAAGTAGCGCCGCAAGAAATAAACGAGTCGACGTATCTCGAAGCGCAGGCGGCATTTCGAATCGCCCATATTTACCGAGTTCGAATCAATGTTCCTCCCTCCCCCCTTCCGACGCCGGGGCGGATGATCCGCGGCAAAGTCGACGAGGTAATGTTCTCGGAAGCAAAACAACCAGCTTAATCCGAATCCATAATAAAAAAAATTGAAGAACCTCGAGCGCTCGAGTGAGGGAGCGCGAGGGAGCGCGAGGGGAATTTAAAACCAACGAAGCCAGAGACGCCCGGGGTTAAAAGCAATTTTACCACTACCCCCGGTAATTCTGTGTTTTTCATATATTGCCGGTCACAAATACGGGCGCAACGAGCGTACATACATGCGCGTATTAGAGGTGTGCGAGTCAAGAATTTTTATGTCGAATTGAATCGAATCGAGTCTCATTTTTTAAATTCGAATTCGAATCGAATCGATGAAATTTCGCTCGATTTCGAATTGAATCGAACGAAATCGAATCGGATCATTAGAAAATTTAACATGACTATTAAACATGCAAATAATGAATGGAAGATTTTAATGGGAAAGGGAATATTGATATTGTAGTATCATCTTAAAGTAAAATATATATTTAAATGTTTAAAGTAATTTATAATTAAGTTACTAATTACAAGTTAAGTTAATTACAAGTTAAGGGTTCAAACATACAGGCCCAGATGACCCGTTTTGTAGCCGATGCACGCGAACGATAATATATTTGATTCCTATTCGAATTATTCGAATTCGAATCATAGGGATTCGAATTCGAAACGAATTGAATTATATTAGATCCGATTCGATTCGATGCGAATTCGAATAGTTCGCACATCTCTAGCGCGTACATATATTTTATTCGGCGTTCCGCTTCTTAAAAGTTCCCTCGGGTCTCACGGAGGCGCAGGGTATTCCCGGGCGACGTCGTAAAACTTAAATGAAAAGTACGGCGGTATTATTACGCCCGGATAGACCGCACGGAAGAAACGCGTCTGTTGTTTTATCAACGATGCTGTCGTACCACCGAAGCGCGCGACGTGTCCTCCTCCTCTTCCTCTGTCGAATGGATCTTTGTTGAGACAAGCAACGTATATATCAGGATAATTTCGTGCAATTAATATCGCGTGAAATTCCGCGGTCTAACCTTTCGATTGTGTCTAATGTTGCGGAAAGGCAGTGCGCCTCGCGACACGGTGGTCGTTAATTTTCATGGGAGAATCATCTAATTTCTCGTTATTCGGTGCATCTATGTTGTTCGATTGCTTTCCACGCTGGGAAAGTACTTTTGTTCGTCCAAGGATCTCGTCCGCCGCCACTTCAGCCAGGCTTCTTCGTTGCGTCTGAGAAGCAGCGTGCACGCTTCAGCTCGTCGCCGGGATTTTTGCCCGAAATCTTTGTTTCCGTTCTCTTTATTTTCCTTTCTTTTTCTCGTTTCTTCTCTCTCGTTGTTTTCTCTCCTTCCGTTTTCACTCTTTTCCTTTGCGCGTTGCTGCAGCCGGCTCAACAGCCGCGGATCTCGAGCCGCGCACGTCACGTAAAAGCTTCAAGGCTGAAAATAACGCGAAATCTATTCTCGTAACGTGGCAATCACCAGCGCAGGTAGTTCTCCGTTTGCTGTTGGTAGACTCTCAAGCGAGATCTCGACGAGATCGTCCGGCGCGTCATCGCGCGAAGATCGCACGACGAGTTAACGTTTTGCATCGATTTGGCGAAAGGCGGCGTTCATTGTCTTCTTGTTGCAGGGTTTCGGCAAAGCTGATCATCAGGTGTCGGTTGAGGTACTGAAGAAAAAATATCCCGACTACAACATCACGTGCTCAGATGAGGGCTATTAATCAGATTAATCGTGATGATAACGAGGACGTTCTTTTAATTTAACAAATAAGCGATCGCATATGATAATCCCCTGCTTTGTACATTGATTAATAAAAATGTAATTGCGCATCGGAATGAAGGCAAAGGCGTTTCAATCTGCCACATGACTTGTGAAATAAATTATTTAAGAGTGTGAAGAAGCAAACGAAATGAACGAAATATCATTCATTTAACGTGTCTACCTCGCGCATATGAACTTCCTTATTCCTTCTTCACCAATGAGATTTCATTGTTGTGCATAAATTTTCCAACATGCGGAATAATTAAACAGCGTAATTTTATTTTTATCACTGGATCAATGCCATACATCTTTATTCGCGCACAAAAGTATAAAATATTATCATCTCTTATTGGCCGATAATTCTTAAGCATTAGCAGCTATTGATAAGGATGCGTCGATAAGAAGGTATACCACATTTTAGCTTGCAGATAAGGACTGAATGCACAAAGTATTGGCAGTGACTTGTGATATATCGTTTGGTGAATTTATAAATTTATTATCGCTCATTGAAAGAGCGGACAACGTTTAAGGAAGAGTAAAAAGAGAGTCAATAAAAGTTAACGACAGAATAAAAGTTTATTCATCGTCGGGTCATGATACTTTTGGCATAAAGACTCTTCCGACCTGTCATTAAATTTTAACGCTTGAATATAAATAAGTTATTACTCAATTATGAGAAATAGGTAAAATTCAACAAGCTCTAACTTTCGAAACGATGACGATAATGAGATGGTTCAAGAAACATTTTATAGTTAAGAGACTCTAATTTCCAGATATATTTCTTGAGATAAAGTTCAACTTTTTTTTACAGTGCTACGTGAATATTAATCAAGACTCGCCGGACCCCAAAACTTTTTAGGAACTTTATTCAATTCTACCGTGTCGACAAAAAATCATAGACAAATAGCATTCATATATTTCGAAAGCGTGAACCTTTCTCTTTAATTTCCATTCACGCAGATTAGCGGTACGATCTTTTTTCGAATTATTTTATGTTGAAAGAAAAAGCGTCCTTTCTGTTTCGACTATTCGCAATAGACGAACGGAATTCGTTAATCAATAAATAAAAAGCTGAAAGTTGTCCCTTCAAACGGGACTTTCATCATACTTTTGACACAAATAATTTTTTAATATAAAAATTTAACTGAAAAATGAAGTTAATATGAAATAATCGACATTGGGCATTTAATTCGATATTACTTTGTGATAAACAATAACAAATACATTTTATGTTTTTAATATTTTATGTATTTAATATTCTTGAAAAGAAGAGAGTTTTAAAGTACATGTTGAACTATTTCTTATCGTCATTTTTATCAAAGATACAGCTTATTTTTGCTTGAAATTTGCTCATATTTTAATACAAGAAGAATAATCGTCTGATTACCGACAGACAGAAACCTGAGAGCGGTCACCGAGACGGTTACGCCAGGACGCTTTTTCCGACGCGCCCCCTGAGAAAATATGTGCACACTACATCCGTCCTGACGGTAATGGCAAAGCGTGCGCGGTTCTTGTTCATTCTACTTTCCTTAAGGAAGATAGTAAAGATAGAAAAGCATAGACGATCAATCGCTCTCTGTTTTTGTCGCACCACCGATGAGCGATCGCGCGGCAAAAGGAGGCATGAGTACACTTACTATCTTCCTTAAGGAAAGTAGAGTGAACAAGAACCGTGCACGCTTTGCCATTACCATCAGGATGGATGTAGTGTGCACACATTTTCTCAGAAGACGGCGACGGAATTCGGTGGAAAAAGCGTCCCAGCATAATTTGCCTAGTGGCCGCTCAGGCTTCTCAGGTTTCTCTCTGCCAGAGAGGAATGTGAGAGCGGCCAACACGGCGTTTTCGGCGATACCGACTTTCGGCACTGGAAAAGGACGCCATCTGCATCCATTTTGAGAGGTGAACTACGATGCTACATTCACTTTCAGGTTTTGGCGGTAAAACCTGCATGTGGTGGCAGTCCGTGCTACATCCACTTTCAGGCGGTTTACGTCCATGTTACAACCATAATAGCATACGAACCATAATAGCATACTTGACAAACACGGTGTCGCACATTGTTACACGTTTATAACATGAATTAACATGTTAACATGTGCAAAAAAAAAGAATTGACATTGTATATGATTAATATCATGAAGATCATACGAAGTGTCCGGTAATTAGCTGCCAATCCGAAGTGTGAGGGTAGATTGGGTTGAGATAAACATAAAAGTCCCATACCGTTTTGCTAGATTCGCAATAATTATAGAGTTATTAATGACAGAAATCTGAGGAGTAAGAGCGCGCCGACATGGATGATTGGAGAAGCGTTGCAGCTGCTCAGGGCAGCGATCATGAATCTTTTCCCTAGCGTGAATTAGTGAAAAGTGAAAGACTTTTGTGAATTAGTGAAAAATGCAAAATTTTATATGAATTTGTGAAAATCGAAACATTTCACACGACGATTGAGTCGTTCAACATGACAGTAGCGATCTGGATAATTCTTAATGAATATCAAAGAAATCAAAATGATCAAAATAATAATGTCCGTGTAGTCCGAAGGATATTACGTGACACGCAAAATCCGTTTGATATAATATCCAAAGAAAATGCTTCAAAATATGTATGTACAGGTAATATAAACTTTATGCACCAACGAGACACTACAAAGACTGATGGCCTTACGGGATTTAACGTACCAGAGAAATTTCCCTGGTGAGGCACCCGGGCGAAAGAGACGGAGCTAGGCGACAGAACGATGGCTGACGAGAAATATAATCTAATCGGAAATTTCAAGGTAGTACTCGCTAAATATCCCTATGTCGTCGCTGCAAATTCGGGTGTGCCGTTTTCACACGCGTGAGCGTGTAATTAGCTCAAGCTTTCTTCACACGATTCTTGCGAGATTTGAAACGACAAAACTCGCCCCCGAGAAAAGCCTCAGCCAATCGCACGCTCGTATGCGTATAAAGAACACATTTGGATTTGCATCTCGAATCTTTCGCAAAAAATCGATACTCGCTCTTCAGGTTCTCACAGAGAATGTCTAAAAACCTTCCTCAAACAAGCAGTATCTGATCTTGAAATTTTCATGAGTCCCAAAACTTGTAAAACGCAAATTGGAGGAACGAGAATAGTTTCCTTCGCGGTATTTCATTTCAAGATGGTACTCGCTGAGTATTCTCCACGTGCAACATTTTTCGTAGGCACGTCTCGAGATATTTTTTATCAAGCATGAGCGACGAACTTGCGTAAAAGAGCTGGAAAACTTTACGAGACGTATCGTTCAGAGGACAAAGGTTATCCGCGGATGTCACTTTCCCCATACTTATCTGCAAAAATGATCGTAATGCGGATTAAACAGCCGCGGGAAGGAAAATCCATGCGGTTTTTACGAGCTCATCAGCAGCAGGCTCTGATTTCTTCTTTCCTTTATCACCGACAAAAGAAGCACCCCCATTTTAAAGAACGATTATAAAATGCGCGACTACGCTTGTCAAGCTTATATCATCAACTCCCGCTTCAATCTCCCACCCTCGATAGATGGAGATAGAGATAGATAGAGGGTCTCAAACGCACGCTCAAGCGCGAGTTATGAAGATTCAGTTTCCGCGAAAAAACTAGTCGGGAGATGTTCGCAGCCGCGGTGGAATTTAACGCTCGCGTTCGCAAGGGCCTAACATTCTACTCGCGAAGGGACACCATCGCCCCTCTTTTCACAACGGTGCGGATGTTTAACTCCTTTCTTCCTTATTTTCCGTGACAACGATACTGCGACGAGGCCTCTACGAGGCGAGTTCGCTTATAACCAGCGTTTGTGCCAATAGCGCTTCTCGGGAACATTCCGCTCGAGGGGTTAGTCCGCGATAGAAAGTTTTCTGCGACCGGAGGCCGCTGTGGTTTAAAGTTAAATTGCATCAATAGAATTGTTATCGGGCAGCTTTGAGACGGGCTGCTGGCATCCGTTCGTGACGTCTGCCGCGCGCGCGCCTTTGCGATTATCGGCAAATTCAGTTTTCTCGATTGCTCGCGCGATTTCAAGTGGCCATGATATATGGCGATAATACACGGCAAAAATATACGGCAACAATATATGGCAAAAATATACGGCAACAATATATGGCAACAATATATGTCAACAATATATGGCAATAATTCATGAAATATATTTTTCGTTACAAAAGTCAATGCAAATTTGCGGCATGCACAATGTAATAATAAAAGAGCTCTCTGCGAGCATTGAGTCAAACGCTCACCGATGATGATATTGATGATGTCCCATCATCCAACCAGATCCACCAATCCGCTCATGTCCGTTGCCGCTCTCCATGTCGCGCAACATCCATCTTGCAGCTCGTCCCACGGTGATCGCTACACTTTCATCACACTTCCGCGACGCGGTCGATACGCGGTATTAGAGCGGCGATATTTGCGTCAATTAACGAACGTTTTGCATCGACATCGGTGGAAACTTTTTACGTGCTGCGAAACGGACTCTAAATAAACTTGATCGGCGAGGAATAAGAACCGAGTGAAAATTTATCGACTCGTCCTACGGATTTTTACGGCGCTTTTCGCGATCGCATCTGAAAAGTCGCGAGAATGCGGGAGTACCGATATCTACGAGTGAAATATTCGCGAATGCACGAGGAAAGATTAAACAAGCAGAAATCGGTCACCCCGAGGGAGCGCAAAGAGAGAGAGAGAGAGAGAGAGAGAGGGGCAAAGTTTTCACGCATGATAGTTCCGTCACGACGAAGTTTATGTTCGCGATACTTTGGCGAAATGAGAATTTGAGCTTTCTTTGTTAACAGCACGGATAAAAACGCGTATATTGATAACCACAGCCGCGATATTCAAAGACACGCGAGCGAGGATAACTCAAGCTCGGCGTGCGCTGGCGCAATTTCTGCGCGCATCATACGCTACTCGAGACAATAGGGATCGTGATGAATGGACAATATTGCTAAATAATTCTACAGCCTATTTTAGAAATAAAAGAAAAGTAGTCAACGGTATCGGCATTTATGCGTATGAATATATTTTACACGAACAATTGAATATTGTCAAATAATTGTCGTTAAATAATTCTGCGGCCCGCTTGAAAAATGAAAATAAAGCAGCTGATGACGGTATCGCGTTTGTAGAACATGAATATCTC